CTAGAGTAATTAGTCGAATGACATAATTTTCGGTTCGATATATCTTAAGATAGGAAAATTTACATGGATCACATGTCCATGCATGAATGATCGATTTATGGTACAAAATATATGCTAGTATTTTCAATAAAAGTCCATCTAGACTCTTCTGAAATAGCTTTATTTTGATACCAAACGATTTCTCGTGAAATTCCGCATCTAGTAAACTATGAATCAACCAAAATTGACGAGAGCCCAAAAATGACCCTTATATGCCCCCGTCCTTTCTCGTTATCTAGACAAACATATTTTTTTTGGAGCAGTGAAAATTGGCCATACAGAATTTTGCTTTTTTTGAAAACAAGAAGTACCCAATTAAAGTAAGCTTTATTTTTTATATTGCAGAACTTTTCACGCTGTATCTTGTGGTATATTTTATTTTTTTAATATAATCTATTAAGTAATTGAAAACTGAAATGCAAAGCGTGGCCATTTAATTTGCGTTATATATTAGTGAAATTTTACACAAAAACAGTTCTTATCGAAATTTTATTCTTATGATATTAGTTGAAGTATGATCAAATAGCATAGAAAAATAGAGGATTCTTTTCTCTATCAGACTGTATAGAAAGACAATTTCTCTTACCCTTATGTAAGCTATTATAGTGTTGGCATCATTACTCTTGGTATACCCTAAGTATATAGATCAGAAACTAAGTGCTCCAATAATACGACGAATATTACATATTCAAAATTTTTATGTGTAAAGATTTCAAATACAAAGATTGCTATTTTTTACTTATCTATTGATGTATGTGGAGCATCAGTTTGTACTATTTCTAATTAAAAAAAATGCACATTCTTTTCTAGTTCGTTTAATTTTTAATTACATGTCGATCCTGACGAAGAAAGGTTGGTAACAACGTGTAACAGTCAAGCAAAGAAAACATAATTGATACTGTACTTCCATTTATCCATAACATGTGGTCATTTAATAATTATTGAAGACATAATCTTTAAGCATACAGGTGAAGCCATATATTGCTAATTACACTTGAAACTCAACAAAGAAAAAAAAATCTGTTCATTTTTGTTTAATTCAAAATAATGATCAATACTAGAAAGAAACGTATATTTGCAAAAATATCAATAGATTTGATTATTCCTACTATTGTTTTGATATATTTCGTTAGTTTTCAAAACCATAATTCACTTATACAAAAAAATAAACAAATACGAATACAAGGTGTTATTGTTACACTTATTCGAAGTACAAATGTATCTATCTTCCTCACACTTAATATGATACATTCTGTTATTCAATTTTATCCAACTCGTGATGGTAACATATACCCATTTGTTATATTTCATGATGAAAATTTTACTTCGGTCATGCGTGAACAAATATTATCATGTGTTCTCAAAACCAAAAGAAAGATAAAAGTTTCATTTGCACGTGTTAATTTTCAAACTTCAGTACAACCGCATAATACATCTCGTGCTAATAAACCGATTGGATATCGTTTAATGTGTCGGTTTTGGACATATGATGTTTTTTATCATCCAGCAATTATTCAAGGAAAATATGATTATCTTATGAGAATGGATGATGATTCATACTTTTCGAATGTAGTCAGAGAAGATCTTTTTCTTTATATGTATAGTCGAAAACTAGATTATATTTATCGATCTACATATTCGGAACCGTTCGATCCGATGCATTCTATTTTACGACGTTTCACTAAGAAAAAAACACTTCGCCTTGATTGTATTTATAATAATTTGTTTGCTGTTCGTTTGAAATGGTATTATGAATCAAAGCGAATTCAAAGTTTTGTCCATGAATTAATTCAAGATGATTTAATACTTCGAGAATATATTGGTGATGGATGTATTCATTCAGCTATGCTTGAAATAGATGATCAAGTTAATGTACAACAGGTGGTTTATATTTCATATGGTCATAATTTTCATTTGATGCCATCAGGATATTGGCAATGGAAGTTTCATCAAGTCAATGCATTATACGAAGAGATAAACAAATCATGTGAACAGTTAACAGTACTGAGAGGTTTTCAAGGTATATTAACAAGAATTAAGATGTCCTAAGAAATGGAATTTATGAAACATTTTGTTTTTATTTTTGTTGTTATTGGTTGTTTTTGTCTACTTCTAATTTCATTCTGGCAAAACTGGGATTCTTAATCTGTCGAAAAACAATCTGATCACAAACTTAAATACTAATTTTGACTGAAACATATAGTCATCTGTTAAAAATGACAGATATATAGAGAAGAAGAGACTGTAACCAGTAAATGTAAGTATTTTTAAAAATGACTCGCAAATATCAAGCATAGTCGATGTCTCTTAAAACTGAGGATGACGATTCTATATTAGTCTTTTTTTCCTCTTTTCAAATTCAATTAGTCAAAAGATTTTCAAGTTGTATGTTTGTATTCAACTTTAGACGGGTTTCCAAACGGTTCCATTGATTGTCAAGTTTGTCTGATATTTCACCAAGAACTACACTCAAAGCTTTGCTGCGAAGATTTTTCATCGAAGTTCTGTTCAATAGTTAAAAAAAAAGAACCTCTTTTCAAAGAAAATCAGAGTAACAGATAGAGACCTATTTGCTCGAACTCATGATGTCTTTTGAGTACAAAGCCAAAATAAAAAAGTAACTTGAACTACCTATTCATAGAAAAGTACTCTTCAATTAATCCTAGTCAGAAAAGTCCACGATTTTCAAAGCAAAAAATGTGGAAGATCGATGTCATACTCAAAAATGCTGAGACTGATGGAGGGCATAGAATGAAGCATGGCCAATCTATTGATCAATAGATAAAAATTAAATACATTGTTTCTAATATGTGAAATGAAAAAAGCATATATCTCGGACACTTTTCTGACTACTTGTATATGATGTAGAAAACTTTAATAATTTTCGAAATATTTGCACAAATTATTCTAATATCTGTATATTAGGACTGTAATTTGTAGAAGAGTACTTCTTCGCTATAGATAGATAATGTGCCAGCAAATCGAAATGTGAGTAAAATATTTTTTGTCGATCTTTTGCCATGGTTGGATAGAGCTCGTCGAGTTACCTCCAGCAATGTGTTTTTTTAAAATTGTCAGATCGGTTTTTGTGTAAAAACTTTAAAAATACTATTTTACCCAAAATGACCTAAAAGTAATATTAATATTTGAAATACGAATAAAGTATTGTCAGATTCTTAAGTTAAGCATTTCTTTTATGTTCCCACAATATCGAAGTCAAAACTCTCCGAAAGACTTGATGTGTAAAAAAAAACAATTTAAGACTGAATTGGCAGACAAAACAAAGAAATAATCGACACTGTCATGAGTAGCAGTACATACAGGTGTGATAGACTTTAAGGGCATACCTTCCAAAGATATCAAGTCTTCATAGGTTCATATTTAAATGACTTTTTTTAATTACTTATAACTGACATACGTATGCCAAAAGATTAAGTATGGGTTTTGGACAATCTCCTTCCTTTGTTGAGAAATAAAGCTTTTTTTTCAAAAATCATTGATTACACCAAAAAAATGAGAATTTAAATATTTTTAAAAGATGCTGGCAACTCGAAATTTCCATATAAAGTTTTATTGACCTTTATTGTCATGGTTGATAGAACTCAACAAGTTTCCTGTATAAATGTTGTTTTTTATATACTCAGATGATATTTTTGCAATGCAACTTAAGAAAACTAGGTTAAACAAATCAGAAAACTCTACAAAAATTGAAATATGCTAAAAGTGTCCAGTCAGAGTGGTCTCAATATTTATCCAAATGTTTCTTTTAATTTTATTCGTCATACTCTACGAAAACAAAATCATACATCATTTTGAACAATGTTGTTGTTTAGTTACTGAGGCGCTCAATTTTTTCAAGATCATGATAACAAAAAATCCATAAAAACGTGTTTGTATTTCGAGGTTTTCATGATCAAAATTTCACTATTGAAAAGAACGAATATCATATTCAGAATCGGCGCTAAAATCTGCATCGGATATCACACTTCATACTGGAATCGAATTTTCTTCCAACAAAATAACCTGTGGCTTTCCTAAGGTCAAAATTTGATCAAAACTAATTCTCAGTATTAAGTATACTATCTGATACAGGCTTTTGCACTGATTCTGAATATGATATTTGTTCTCTTCAATAATGAAATTTTGATTGTGAGAACTTCGGAATATGAACACGTTTTTATAACTTTTTTGTTATCATGATCTCGGAAAAATCGAATGCCTTAGCAACTAAATAACATTGTTCAAAAGGATGCATAATTTTTTTTCCTAACTATATGACGAGTAAAATCAAAAGAAACATTTGGATAAATACTGAAAACACTGAAATTTTATGCCTTTAGCATATTTCAATTTTCTAGGCTTTACAGATTCGTTTAACGTAACTGACCTAAGTTTCACTGAAAAAAGATCATCTAAATGTGTCACAAACAACATTTTTATCGGAAACTTGGCGAACTTTATCCAACCATGTCAAAAGATCGACAAAAAAAATGTTGCTCTAAATTCCTTTTGCTGGCACCTTACATCTTGAAAGAAAAAAATTCACATAACAGCTGATCTTTTCTCTAGATGTTACATGTGCCTGTCCCATATAAATTTCTCATATTGTTTTTAGAGTTTCAAATATCTGAAAGTTCTTTGTTTGTGCGAAATTCAAACATGCCTCTTTTAAATGTAATCATGATTTCTGAGATATCCTCTTCATATAAACTGTCTCTCATTAACATATGAAGTAAATATATTGAAAATGTTTATATTTAAAAGTTTTAAACTGTCAAAGGGACATAATTATTTGCTTCCATGATAACTACAATAAAATCTGTTTTCTTTCCATCTTCAGGGAAAAATACACTTTTATTTGTATGTCTTTTCAATCACAATGCCATGCTGATGACGCAAACACGGTGGCAAAATGAAAGAAACCAACCGAGTAGAACATCGTCATATGATGTGCTTACACTTGTCTTCAACACGTCGTTGTTCAATAAATATTGAAGACATAATTGTTAAACATATAATTGAAGCTATTAACAATTGATTGTCTTAAAAAGCCACCGAAACCCATGAAACCTTTTACTTTATGATTCATTCAAAGTAAATATGAAAAATATTCTTCAAACTTTTATATTAGGAAACAGTTCAATAAGCCTGATTAGTCTTATTGTTGTTTTGATTTACTTCACGAAATATCAAAGTCGTACTTCACTTATACAACAAAATGAACAAATAAGACCACGAGGTGTTTTTGTTATACTTATTCGAAGTACAAATCGATCCGTTTTCCTCACAATTAATATGATACATTCTGTTATTCACTTTTATCCAACTTCTAGTGGTTCTTTATATCCATTTATTATATTTCATGATGAAGCTTTTACTTCAGCTATGCGTCAACAAATATTATCTTGTGTACTTCGAACTAATAAACAAATACAAATTTCATTTGCACTTGTTAATTTTCAAACTTCAGTAAAACCAAATAGTAAATTCCGATTAGAAAAATCAATTGGATATCGTTTAATATGTCGGTTTTGGATATATGATGTTTTTCATCATTCAGCAATTATTCAAAGAAATTGTGATTATCTGATGAGAATGGATGATGATTCATATTTTTCCAATGTAATCACAGAAGATCTTTTTCTTTATATAAATAGATGAAAATTAGATTATATTTATCGATCTACATATTCGGAACCACTTGATCCTATGCATCCTATTTTACGACGTTTCATTAAGAAAAAAACACTTAGCCGTTATTGTATTTATAATAATTTCTTTGTTATTCGTTTAAAATGGTATTATGAATCAGAGCAAATTAAAAGTTTTGTTCATGAATTAATTCAAGATGATTTAATACTTCGAGAATATATTGGTGATGGATGTATTCATTC